CCTTCCTTTTCTTTCCCCTCATTTTTCCGCCTGCATGCACTTGCTCTCCTCCCCTCGCTTTTTTAACTCTGCAGTCACAGGTTCATCAGTAGGATAGGAACTACTGTACCTCTGAGGGGAATAGCATGCTCCTACCTGCTTTCTTGCGACACCTGTAACGTATGTTTCTAACCACTTCTTTGCAACATACTTGCAATGATGTCCTGGGGCTCGGCTGTAGAGAGAGCATTTTCTTCTTGTGGTCAGTTAAACCTGCTGAAAAACGTACCTTTATTTTGATATAAAAGTTAGTTTTGTAAGCCCTGATAGTGGAATTATTTGCTGTTTCCAAGCTTCACTTGTTACTGTTAACCATTTCTTTGTCCCCAGGAGACAGACACAAAAAGCTTTCAGTGACAGCAGGACTTTTGTTTGTGTTTGTTGAACCAAAACTGGACTGGAAAACAGCCTGTAGGCAGAAGCTGCATTGATCTGTCTAAAAGAGCCAGTGTGTGTGTGTATGTGTGTGCGTTTGTGTTTTGGTCTGCATGAATGATAAAAAACAAGGCCAACTGACTGGGCAGCACACATTTGTGTTAAAGATCTAACTTGCTAAAAGAAACCCAGAAAGCAGTTATTGATTGAAGAGACTGCGACCTTAAAGTTTTGGCATTACCTGCTGCAGACGAGAGTAAAAATGTAAGCAGAACCTTTTTTGCAAAGTTAACGCTCTCTGTGTTTTAAACCACCAGGTGACGATGCGATGACGGGGGACACGGACAAATATATGGCCCCCCAAGATCTGCGGGAACTGGGCGACGACTCACTCCCTCAGGACGGCTACATGGGCTTCAGCATTGGTGCACGATCTCAGAGGTAACATGCTATGACATGCCGCAATTTGCGTTTGTGCTGTGTCTGTTCCTAGCTTTTGTATGTTTTCTACATGTAGCATTGTAACATCAGTTGTTATGACATACATAACATTGCAGCTGCCATAAAGACTGTGAGAAATGTGGAGGTTTACAAAAATATAAAATTTCCATGGCTAAAAAAAAATTACCACGGTTGTAGTTTTGTTTCAGCATTTTCCCAGAAGCAGTATTTATAGATCCACGACTCTTATAGATCCAGGCATAGCTTCTGGGTTTAAAATGTGAAGACAACTATCTTAAACATGCAATCTTGCTAAAGGCCAGCAAGGTGCAACTCTTCTGTTTGTAAAAAGATTAAGAAACTGACCTTAATTCTGACTTAAATT